GGGATGGGTTATAACTGTACAGCAAACATTCATTAATCTTCATTGTCGCGAACACAAATAGACAGAGGAGTCGAATGAGGCAAAAAATGTTATTTCAATGATTAATTTTTGCTAATAATGACTTATTTCTTAGTACTGTTTTTTTAAACTTTGTTTGGACATAATGCCTGATTGTCTGAAACCTTTCTGTCGACTAACAAGCAAGTCAGGTTTGTGTTTCAGTCTATCTTAACATTAAAACATGATGTCTTGTTGTCCTCAGCTTCTCTCGACTTTAAAGCTTGTCGCTGTTATCCGAAGCTTTTCTTGATATTAAAACAGAGTGTCTAGTTGTCGTCCTCATCCTGTTTTAACTTTTAAATAAGTATGCTCTTTTGTCTAAAGCTTTTGTCAACCTTTGAAAATGTTGCCCTGTTGTCATCAGCCTATCTCGGCTTTAAAAACATGTATTTCTCGACATTAAAGCTCTCGGCTTGTTGTTCACAGCTTTTCACAATAAATATTATTATGCTTGTGTTACAGCCTATCTCAAGGTAAAAAAAACGTTGGCTTATTGTCCAAACTATTTTCATATTAAAAATGTTGCCAAAAGACTGTTTCGAAAAAAAAATTGATGCCTTGTTATCTAGTCTGTCTATATCGTATAACGTTGTCTTGCTGTCCACAGCCTGTTGGCGAGTGTCTGCTGTACGCCATGGAGAAGAAATTGAAGGAAAAGTTTACAAACGAAACAAAGTTGGCCTGGTTGAAACTGTATGACGTCATAAGTGTGGCCTTCCAGGACGGTCTGGAGGAGGAGGGGCGTAAACAGGGCTGAATGAAGAAGAGTATTTATATATATATTTATATTAACTTAACCTTAGTATCGTTGGTGACCAGATTGTGTCACATCAAAATGCACACTAAAGTCAACAACGTCTGTGAGTTCGTGTGGATGTGTTGTGTCATCGCCAGGTAGTAGAATGTTCTGTTTGTGATACTTCGGTGAACATCGTATTAGTATCTCATAGTCAATGGCGTGTCAATGCCGGTTGGTAAAACTTTCTGTCTGATACAGGTTGTGTACCCTTAGTGAGCATCGTGCCAGTATCATTTATTCAGTGGTGTGTCGGTGTGGGGTGGAACCATCGGTCTGTGGTACAAACTTCGGTAAACTTCGTATATGATATAGCTTTTTTTTTCTTTATCGAAAATGGAGTGCCTCGAGTGAAATACACATAATAAATATACAGTCACTATAACAGGATCGTTTATGTTATCAACTTGTTTAATTGATACATTTATGTTCAGATACGTGTTATAAACCTACTAACAACAGATGAGAGAATGTCATACATATGGATGACACGTTATGTACCTACAGATACATTGATGCGTTACTGTGTATGTTGGGGTACATGACGAATTGTTGTCAATGCAACACCTTGCGTCAGTCGAATGTCATACCCAGTTTTAGTCATATGACATATCCTGTATCGGTCACATGTCATATCCTGTACCAGTCATATGTCACATCCTGTATCAGTCATATGTCACATCCTGTATCAGACATATGTCACACCCTGTATCAGTCATATGTCACAACCTGTGTCAGTCATATGTCACACCCTGTATCAATCATGTCACACCCTGTATCAGTCATATGTCACACCCTGTATCAGTCATATATCACAACCTGTGTCAGTCATATGTCACATCCTGTATCAGTCATATGTCACACCCTGTGTCAGTCATATGTCACACCCTGTATCAGTCATATGTCACACCCTGTATCAGTCATATGTCACAACCTGTGTCAGTCATATGTCACATTCTGTATCAGTCATATGTCACACCCTGTATCAGTCATATGTCACACTCTGTATCAGTCATATGTCACGCCCTGTATAAGTAATATGACATATCCTGTATCGGTCACATGTCATATCATGTACCAGTCATATGTCACATTCTGTATCAGTCATATGTCACACCCTGTATCAGTCATATGTCACAACCTTTATCAGTCATATGTCACGCCCTGTATCAGTGATATGTCACATCCCTTATCAGTCATATATCACACCCTGTATCAGTCATATGTCACACTCTGTATCAGTCATATGTCACGCCCTATATCAGTCATATGACATATCCTGTATCGGTCACATGTCATATCATGTACCAGTCATATGTCACATTCTGTATCAGTCATATGTCACTGCCGGTATCAGTCATATGTCACACCCTGTATCAGTCATATGTCACGCCCTGTATCAGTCATATGTCACATTCTGTATCAGTCATATGTCTCGCCCTGTATCAGTCATATGTCACACCCTGTATCAGTCATATGTCACACCCTGTATCAGTCATATGTCACAACCTGTATCAGTCATATGTCACACCCTGTATCCGTCATATGTCACACCCTGTATCAGTGACATGTTACGCCATGTATCAGTAATATGTCACACCCTGTATCAGTCATATGTCACACTCTGTATCAGTCATATGTCACGCCCTATATCAGTCATATGACATATCCTGTATCGGTCACATGTCATATCATGTACCAGTCATATGTCACATTCTGTATCAGTCATATGTCCCTGCCGGTATCAGTCATATGTCACACCCTGTATAAGTCATATGTCACGCCCTGTATCAGTCATATGTCACAACCTGTATCTGTCATATGTCACACCCTGTATCAGTCATATGTCACACCCTGTATCTGTAGTATGTCATACCATGTATCAGTCATATGTCACGCCCTGTATCAGTCATGTCACATCCTGTATCTGTAGTATGTCATACCATGTATCACTCATATGTCACACCCTGTATCAGTCATATGTCACATCCTGTATCTGTAGTATGTCACAACCTGTATCAGTCATATGTCACACCCAATATCAGTCATATGTCACACCCTGTATCAGTCTTATGTCACACCCTGTATCAGTCATATTTCTCTCCCTGTATCAATCATATGTCACACCCTGTATCAGTCATATGTCACACCCTGTATCAGTCATATGTCACGCCCTGTATCTGTAGTATGTCACACCATGTGTCAGTCATATGTCACACCCTGTGTCAGTCATATGTCACACCCTGTATCAGTCATATGTCACCCCCTTATCAGTCATATTTCTCTCCCTGTATCAATCATATGTCACCCTGTATCAGTCATATGTCACACCCTGTATCAGTCATATGTCACACCCTGTATCAGTAATATTTCACACCCAGTATCAGTAATATGTCATACCCTTATCAGTCATATTTCTCTCCCTGTATCAATCATATGTCACCCTGTATCAGTCATATGTCACACCCTGTATCAGTCATATGTCACACCCTGTATCAGTCATTTGTCACACCCTTATCAGTCATATTTCTCTCCCTGTATCAATCATATGTCACACTCTGTATCACTGATATGTCACACCCTGTATTAGTCATATGTCACACCCTGTATCAGTCATATGTCACACCCTTATCAGTCATATTTCTCTCCCTGTATCAATCATATGTCACACCCTGTATCACTCATATGTCACACCCTGTATCAGTCATATGTCACACCCTGTATCACTCATTTGTCACACCCTTATCAGTCATATTTCTCTCCCTGTATCAATCATATGTCACACCCTGTATCACTCATATGTCACTCCCTGTATCAGTCATATGTCACACCCTGTATCAGTGACATGTTACGCCATGTATCAGTAATATTTCACACCCAGTATCAGTAATATTTCACACCCAGTATCAGTAATATTTCACACCCAGTATCAGTAATATTTCACACCCTGTATCATTGACATGTTACGCCATGTATCAGTCATATGTCACACCCTGTATCACTCATTTGTCACACCCCTATCAGTCATATTTCTCTCCCTGTATCAATCATATGTCACACCCTGTATCAATCATATGTCACACCCTGTATCACTCATATGCCACACCCTGTATCAGTCATATGTCACACCCTTATCAGTCATATTTCTCTCCATGTATCAATCATATGTCACACCCTGTATCACTGATATGTCACACCCTGTATCAGTCATATGTCACGCCCTGTATAAGTCATATGTCAGGCCCTGTATCAGTCATATTTCACACTATGTATCAGTTATATTTCTCACCCAGAGTCATATGTCTCGCCCTGTATCAGTCATATGTCACGCCCTGTATAAGTCATATGTCAGGCCCTGTATCAGTATATGTCACGCCCTGTATCAGTGATATGTCACATCCCTTATCAGTCATATATCACACCCTGTATCAGTCATATGTCACACTCTGTATCAGTCATATGTCACGCCCTGTATAAGTCATATGTCACGCCCTGTATCAGTCATATATCACGCCCTGTATCAGTCATATGTCACGCCCTGTATAAGTCATATGTCAGGCCCTGTATCAGTCATATATCACACTATGTATCAGTTATATTTCTCACCCAGTATCAATCATATGTCACACCATGTATCAGTGACATGTTACGCCATGTATCAGTAATATTTCACACCCAGTATCAGTAATATTTCACACCCTGTATCAGTCATATGTCACGCCATGTATCTGTCATATGTCGCACCCTTATCAGTCATATGTCACTCCCTGTATCAATCATATGTCACACCCTGTATCAGGCTTATGTCTCGCCCTGTATCAGTCATATTTCTCTCCCTGTATCAACCATATGTCACGCCCTGTATCTGTAGTATGTCTCGCCCTGTATCAGTCATATATTACGCCATGTGTCAGTCATATGTCACACCCGGTATCAGTCATATGTCTCGCCCTGTATCAATCAGATGTCACGCCCTGTATCAATCATATGTCACACCCTGTATCTGTAGTATGTCACGCCCATACCATTACATATTTCACCATGTATTAGTCATATGCCAAGTCCTGTATCAGTCAAATACCATACCCGGTATCAATTACGTCATATCCTATATCAGTCACATTTTGCACAAGTCACATGTAATACCAAGTATGAGTCACATATACTGTATCAGTCATATGTCATATCCTGTATCGGTCACATGTTATATCATGTATCAGTCATATGTCATATTCTGTATCATTCATATGCCATACCCTGTATCAGTCATATGTCATATCCTGTATCGGTCACATGTCATATCCTGTATCGGTTACATGTCAATCCTGAATCAGTCATATGTCAATCCTGTATCTGTCACATGTCAAACCTGTATCGGTCACATGTCATATCCTGTACCAGTCATATGTCACATCCTGTATCAGTCATAAATATTTATGTGTATAATCCTTATACAGTTTCCCGTTGTCTATATTGTGATGAAGCATATGTGATAAAATGTTCTGAAGCGGACGTATAAATTACTTATTTATGATATCTATTTATAGAGTCAGCGTATGTTATCGATAGCAATCTAAACTCTCTGGTCCAGTATTTTCAAATGTCCCAATTAGTCCTGAATAGATCAAATCATCTGGTCAACTTACGTGTTTGTGTGTGACTCTCCGATTCGGCCTGGTTTTTCAATATGGGTATGGAACGTTCAAACTCGAAAGAAACCTGGTCATCTACTTTGTTGTGCTTTCTGTTATTACAAATATTAAAAAAACACATATTTCAGTGGTTTTCTGAACAATCTACTGACAACATGTGGCCAACAGAATGACACTTACCCTTTTCTTAGTGAAGGTTGTCTCAAACTAGTGTTACTTAGACGTTGTATGAAACACACGATGATTTGTACTGTGTGTGGATATAAGTGTTACTTAGACGTTGTATGAAACATGATAATTTGTACTGTGTGTGAATATAAGACTTGTTTTAGATACTTGAACAAAATAAATAATGATGTAAAACCAAGGTTTTTTCTCTGATTACTTCGTACACGTTGGTGTATTGATGAATGCTACCAATAGCGAGTGTCATTCCTACTATTGTTAACGACTTCAACATATCGAGTCTTGAGAATACAGGAGGAGTAACTAAAACGTTATATTTTGTTGTTTAAAACATACTTTTGGGGAGATGGAGGTCCTCCTTCGTCACTCGACTGGTTAGTGAAAAGCCGAGGTAGGAGTTGATCAAGAAATCTAGGCAGTACTTGATAGGTGTCCGGCAGTCTTCGCAGTTGCGCATGGCAGAAGAGGTCAACAACCAATAGAATGACTAACAATGAATTTTGTTATAATTGTCTACTATTATGGAATGTAATCGTCGCTAAAGGTTATATAAAGAACGATAAAGAATATGGTGCAGTGCTTTAGGGCATTGCACAAGTCCGTGTTTGTCTCAATTCAATTCAAGTTTATTCCGGGGGCCTTACGACCCATAGGTATACATAAATATAATACATAATATTACATACATATTTGGAGAGTGATCTCTCATGACATGCATACAGAACACAGAAAGTAGCATATACATGTCTGTATAAGATACACAAACAACATACTGACAGAGACGGGAGGTAACTCCGCGTCAATGTTATCTTGATTGCGATTACATAAATGCTGAGTCAATCTACCTATTATTCCTAAGTTTAATGAATATACAGACGGACAGACACACAGACTGTATAACAAACAGACACACACAGACACACAGACAGACAGACAGACACACAGACAGACAGACAGACAGACAGACAGACAGACACACACACACACACAGACACACACACACACACACACACATAGAAATATACGTTATAATTACTTTTTAGTGAAGGCAAGCTTTTCTTTGCATTCGAAATGATACATGAAATACATTGTTTAACGATAACAATCGCTTTAAGCCAAAGTATGTTTTTCTTTACTTAACGGCAGAATGCTAAGGTATACATGGTTTCAAAACATACCTATTGCATACGTATTTGGAGAGTGGTCTCGCATGACAAGCATACCGAACACAGAGAGTAACATAAACATGTATGCATAAAATACATCATAAACATAATGGTACAAGAAAAATTACTTAAGTTAAATTTAACTTAACAAACACATACTGACAGAGATGCGCCAATATTACCTTGAATGGGATTACATTAGTGCTGAGTCAATCTACCACGTATGTACCACTTATTGATTAAGTTTAATAATGTATATCTATGTTGTACAACATAGAGCAATAAATGTTGTACAACATCAGCAATAATACTTATATTAAACAGACAGACATAAGTAAAAGTAATAGTTCGTTTTCAGCGATGACATGCTTTTCTTTAAATTCGAAATATACCTGAAATACATATGTGAGGTATATAACGATAATATTCACTTTTAGCCAAAGTGTGTTTTTCTTTTCTTAAAGGCAAAATGAATATAATTTTCCAAGATTATTTAGTTGCTTAACATTATTTATACTTAACAGTTGCACAAGTTTGAAAACGCTAGGTGATTTATAATAATACTTTTCAATATACCTTTGTCTAATTTCTATATAAAATGGACATTGCAGTATAAAATGGAACTCATCTTCAATTTCATAACTTTGGCAACATTCACATATTCTGCGTCTCCTATCAATGTTGTGATAGCGGCCATTTTCGATTTTT